GAAGGCCTTATTTTATATGGCTGGACTAATATTTAGGGATTTTTTTTTCTTTAAGCTGTTTAAGCTGCTTATTTACAATTCAGCCTTTCAAGTACACATGAATTGTTAGAGTAATATGCACCTTGGCTTTGTCTCTCTGTTTGTTTTCAGACTGACTGCTATTTGAAGGCCTTATTTTATATGGCTGGACTAATACTATTCCACAAATTGCTACCTTTCTAAAGCTATGATGTGAACCTGTCTGAACAACTGCCACTTTAGCACCACAATAAAAAATACCTTTCAGATAACAACCCTTTTCCTTTTGGAAGGAATAACAAACCAAAGCGAAATAAATAGGAACGATGATCTGTTTCCCGAGCTAGCAAGGTCTAGCGCCAGAGGAGTCGCTTTTTCCGGCTGTTTTCTCCTCTTTTTTGGACTTGCAGAGCCGCTTGGGTGGGGACGCATGGTGTGCACCTTGTGCCCTATAGTTACCACCTGAGATTACCCTGCACTCACTGTGGGCTCAGTAAACCCTCCCGTCCCCAAACCTTATTCTTACTGCTGCGTGATTGTTTGTTGGCTTGCTTTTCCTTCCTGTCAACATCGGCCAGGTCCTCCTGGGAGCTGAGGGCTTCCCCAGGTGGTTGTCCTGCAGGTTCATTTCCAGTTCTCCCCCCTGTCTCCGCACCGTCCCCTCTCCCTCTGTGCTGTGCAGAACCAGGGGACGCTTCTGGCATTAGAATAGGGGAGATGGGAAGGAAGATGTGCTGTCTGCCTTGCGTTGCGTGGAGGTCGATGGCTGGAGACTGCCTTCCTTCGCTTTGGTAAGTAGCTGCATACTCTGTGCCTCGGTTTGTCCGTCTCGCGGCTATGCAAATGCTCTTAGATGTCCTGATGCATAGTTGTGACATCTTGTGTTTCTGCTGTTATCCACCACGCCACACAAGTGTGTTTAAACCTGTTAAAAGATGTATCCTGTATTTGGGGTCTCGTTCACATTGAGGTGATCCTCAAAAATATTTTTCAAACGTTGAGTCTGCCTCATCTCATAGAGTGGATGTTTTAATTTAGTTTCCTCACTAATAGCCATCTATCTTCAGCAAGACAATCCGTTCTCACTGACTCCAGCCTGGTCTAATGGAGATGGTCATCATACTAGTTTAATTTAAACCATTCCTTGCCAGCACCGTTTTTATTTCCACTTGTGAACTTTCTTTTTGTTTTAGTTCCAGTCAGTTCCCACAGAGCTAAGACAAAACTAGCTTAGACTGTTTTATAAAGTGAGTGTGCACACTGCTTTAACTCTGATTTAGCTAATGCAATGTTCTCATGCAGACAAGACTCTGGCAGAGGGGAAGGAGCCTTGAATGGAGATGCAGAATTTGATCGTCTTCTAGAGACGCAGTTTGTCCTTACTACTGTTCCCTAGCGGTAGAGCGGAGTGGGGAAACCTGCACCAGTGTTTCTTGTGCCAAAACTATTCTGTGAGTAAACGTAAGGGCTTCAGCCTCCAGGGCTGTCTGTGTGACACCACGCGTATGAAATTCTCATTAAAATAGTTGTTAAAAACGGCCATGAAATAATTGGTTCTTTTGTTTCTCTCTTCTTTTAATCCAGAATCTACAGTGAAGAAAGAATACTGAGCATTTCTCTCATATCTGCTGTTTGACCATATGGACTATAACGTACTGCAGTTTGATACTGTTTATGTTAATGAAGTGGTCAGGTCTCAGTTCTGCAAGGTTCCTAGTGCCAGGTACCATTCATCATTCAATATACTTACGAATCTGGGTGAATAGAGGCTGAAGTCCAATGAGATCTTTTAGGTTAAAAAAGAGAGCATTTACCTTAATATAGCGGTGCCAGGAAGGCTAAGATGACGTGGGATTTGTGGCTGTGAAAGTGCTCTGAGGTTTTGCCTCCCTCATTATACAGTGATATCTTGAACCTTCAGCCCTGGCTGATGTATGTGCCATAAAACTGGATGTGGGAGAGGCAGAGCTCTCCTACAAAAAGAATCCTGAATACTGAAAATGCTCTGCATCCTCTCAGGTTTTGTAACAGAGTTTCATCTGGGAACCTGTGAAAATGTCAGAACCATAAACTGGCTTCTTTCTCTTTTTCACAAAGCTGGCATGTCTTCCCAAATATTTTCTCTCTCTTGCTCGCTCTCTCTCACTCTACCCACAACTGGCTGTTTCTTAAACGCACAGAGTTCATGCTTTTAAGTAAAGCAGTGATGGTTATTCAAGTTCTTGTAAAATTAGTAATGAGGTATGTTACTTACAGGGTTGTTTACTCCATGTAAGGGTTTAAGCTATATAAGGGATAAAATTACTGATTTTAGAAAAGGCAAAGATTTAATTCATTATTCAGAGGAAACGAGATGGTCATTTGAAGACAAATACTTGTTAATGAGTAGTCAGACACTGAGAAAGGCCTACCCTAGCTACATAGTCTGTAGTCTAGAAGCCCTGTGGCAATCTGGAATGGCATTTTAGTAGGGCGACTGTGGAAACATTTGATTCCTTTGTATCCTTCAGAACTTTGTTCTTCTATTTTAAAGTTTCAGAAGACTAAATCAATGTTTTTCTGGTGAATATTTAAGTGAGGGGGATAAGATGGTGTTAACTGAAATAATTTTGTAAGCTAGACAAGAATCGTAGACGTTCATAGAGAGAACTGAGCAGCCAAAAGAGCTCTGCACAGGAGGATGCAGGTGCCAGAGTTTAAGTGACTGGGATTTCACAAATAACAGCTGCTCATGAAGGTACTTAACAGTGAAACACGGAAAGCTCCTCAGTATCCAGCAGTTTTGACTGCTCTCCTGAGTACTGATACCGCAGTGCTGCCACTTTAATGAAAACATTTCTGAAAATTTTACCTAGCCTGAAAATCTCAATTACGGTGCCATATACTTTGGGAAACCCAGCCCTGGCCACGAGCAGGGCACAGCAGGCTGGTTAAAGACCTACCGCGGCTGCAGGATTACTGTAGCCTGGGGTAAGGGACTGGTCTGGAATATCTGTCAAGCAAAATTTGCAGAAAATGATAATATTGATAGGTCAGCTAATGCAGCACAGACAGCCCTGGAGGCTGATCCAAGCCCTCACTCAGCTCCAGAACAAGAGCATCAAGCTTAAGGACCCCTTATCTAGCCTTTCTCTTGTGTTTCTGTGCTAACGGTCTGACTGTGTTTCAGCCATCATTGCTGTAATAGGCCTTTCTCCCCTTTTCCGTATCAAAACAAACGTGCGGAAGCCAAAAGTGTTAGTCTCACCAACTCAAAAGCTTGAATAAGCATTGCAACCGGTACATCGTATACCGTTTCATCGCTAGGAAAGGCGAGTGAGGGAGACTTGAACAAAGCCGAGTAAACTAATTGGATGTTGCGCTGTGGACAGTCGGAGACGGGCCCCTCTGCGCTGCCCGGAGGAGCTGGTGCTCACCCACATCCGCCTGCCTCCGGGGCTGGGCGGTAGGGCTGGTTTGCAGCCCTGGCCACGCAGGTGTGTGCACCTGTACCGACCACCCACCTGTCCTCCTCTCAGGAGGAAAACCCCTCTGTAACACACAGGGTAAGTGGTTTTGCTTGTGTATATGTTAGGTGACGGGGAGAGCGCCTATGTTAGCCTCGTTGGACGTCTGGGGACGTGTAACCCCACGGGCCCAGCGGCGTGTCGCCGATGCCAGGCGGCTAGGCGGTTGGCATGCCTAATAAACGCCCTCGGGCCAAAGTTTCAAGCGTTGCAGCAGCCGGCCCAAGGAACACCTGCCTTCGTTTCCCTAACTTGCTTCTCCGGGGAGGCTTCAGCCTGCCGCCTCCTCGCCTCCCTCCCC